TGAGATTCATAAAGTTTGAAAGCGTATCAAATATTTTATACGCGATTAAACGAGCGTAAAAGGATCGATGTCCGGTATCGTTTAACGGCCGCTTTCACAATGCAGTTTTAATTGCATCGCAGAATACCTGAAACCACGATAATTTCTCATTGAAACGGAAATCCAAATCAAATATAAAAACAAATGACAGCCGATATTCGATTGTAAATGATTCTTCTCTAATATTTTTTCGAATTCTGTCAAGATTCCAATAATTATAACTATAAAACATCATTTTAGAAGAAAAAAAATAATAAAAAGATTTTTTTAAAATTTGCTTTAAAAGTGAATAAAAAATAAGAAAATATGAATTTGATTGATAAACTTAAAAGTTTCGTCAAATGTGTCGACGAATATATTAATATCTTGTAGAATGAAAAATTGGACGAATATGTATTATATTTTACATAATTTGATGTTAAATATTAAAAGTATAAATTTGAATAAAATAACACCACAAATAATCGAGTCGTGTTATATCAATGGAAAAAACAACAGAGAATTATATTATATTATATTATTATATTCATATGTCGTTTCGAATCATATTCAAACGAGATAGAATCGAATCGAGAAAATAAAATTGTACACACGAATCGTATCATATTAAATATTATCGTAAGAACTCGTATTATAACCGAATTAAATATACAGTATTGTATGGAATAGAATTACATAAATTATGCTGTTTGAATAGAATCGAATCAAAACTGTATTAGATCAATCTTAGATTTAATCATGTCTCTAACACTTCTCCATCGTGTCGCGGACTAAATTACATTAATATTCTTACCGCGATAAATCGATCTGATTTATGTATCTATGCCACTTCATATCGATTCAACAAATCGAATCGTGAATATATAATAAAATATGTATAAAATGCAAAATTCAATCAAAAATTGAACCACTAGAAAGCTGAACTCCAATTTCTAAAAATTTTTCAATTTTTTTTGTCAAAATATACAATTAGCGCTAAATTTTCGTGAAATTAGATGATTTATATTAATATATTAATAAAGTTTGATTTCTATGTTATCTGTTATTACTAATTTGTCTTTTTAATCTTTTCTAATTCATTTATATTATATTTATTGGCTTGTTGTGCAATTCTATTTCTATTTTTTTTATAAAGAAAAATAAGTTAATAATAATCAACAATTCTGTTTTTATCATATTCTACTTAGAAATCAACTCTCCGATAATTCGATTTAAATGGGCACATTTAAATTATATTCATATTTACATAAATAAAATTAATTATTCATTTCTAATATTCACTTCATAATTAAGAAAAAATCGATTAACAAATTAAATTATTAATTCGATCGCTCGATCACATGACATGTAGGAGTCGTCAAATCAAATTTCCAAGTTTCTAACCTAACTTTCACTCAGCTGAGTCTTGCGGTCAGATAACAGTTCTTGGTAATATCTCGCGTCGATCATATTATCATTGACATAGGCAACACCAGCATTCCGCGGATGATGGTTATCCTCTAATATGCAGAGAAACCTCGAATCCTATTAACATTTGGATTCAATAGCGCATGCAGTTCATCAGATGCTTAATTAACTATGGTTTTAACAATTTTTGAATATAATCTGAAATTTTAGAGAAAAATATTTTAAATTCTTGCTCGGATTTCTAAACTATCGTATGAAACAAATTAATAATTTTAACTTTTATCAATAACCGAATAATCAAATAATAAACTTATAATGGAATTCTTTTTATATAAAATATAAAATTTTTAATAAGTTGTTACTCGAAACTTAAAAAATTTTTAATTTTCGAAAATTTTAATCGTAAAAATTATGTCGTTTTGTTTAAGTTCACGAATGTCAAAATCATTTGAAAATCGTATATAATATTATTTCCACTTAGAATATAAAAATCATTTTTTATTATAATTATTATTATTTTTTATAATTATCAAAACCGTGTTATTTTTTTGTCAAAGTCATTTAAGGATCATAATTGATATTATTTAAATCATTGGAATTTATCGACATCATATTCGTATCAGATTCGTAATTTCATCTTATATGGTAAATATATAAAAATACATTATTTTGCGTTTCAGGGAGCAGAGTACGAAGTGCTAGATGATTCTCAGGAACATTGGTGGAAAGTCAAAGATGAACATGGGTATGTAAAGATTTTATATTCATTGAAATAAAAGATATATTATCTATTGGAAAATAGTTTGAATTGGAATCTCGAAAAAAAATTATTTTTTAAATTATTTCGAATAAAATCACTGATTAATTTCATTTTGAATCCAAATTCCAAATTAATTAAATGCCACTTATTATGCAAATTCTTACCAATGTAATCAGGATTAATGTTGTTACGTTATATCTTTTTGGCAACTTGCATTCTCGGCGATCAAGGGCTTTTAAAGATTTAAGTTCCTCTCTTCGTACTCCTCGATGACTATTTAATGTAGCCAAAAGCGGATTAAGGCTATAGGTTCATTCGATGGTTGGTCGATTCGACTCCTAAATGTTATAAAAAGAAGCTTGCTAAGAAAACACAAGTCAAAGGATGTAATATACATATGTATACCACTCTCTATTATATAAACATAAATAAAATTTTTCATTTATATAATTTCAATTATATTAATTACTACATTGCTAATATAAATGAAACAAAAGAATACATAATTTTTTTGTTTAGATACTTATAACATAATATAAAAGAAAAAATGATTAATTATAATTTCTAATTTTTTTTCAGATCCATTGGTTACATTCCTAGCAACTATGTCAAAGAAAAAGAACTCCTGGGCCTTCAAAAATATGAGTAAATATATGGAGAAGATTTTATTCAAAACAAATTTATATTTTCTTAATGTTATATAATGATTAAAATATAAATCTTAAAATTATAGATGGTATGTGGGTGATATGTCTAGACAACGTGCGGAATCATTGCTTAAACAAGAAGATAAAGAAGGATGTTTTGTTGTACGTAATTCATCTACCAAAGGACTGTACACGCTTTCCCTCTATACGAAAGTGTAAGTATTTTTACTTATATCATCATTATATATTTATTATAGGAAAAGGTCAATAAGAAGATACTATTGTAGCCCACATCCTCATGTGAAACATTATCACATCAAGCAAAACACCAGAGGAGAATTTTATCTATCTGAGAAACATTGCTGTGGTTCAATACCCGACTTGGTTAATTATCACAGACATAATAGCGGTGGATTAGCTAGCCGATTGAAAACTAGCCCTTGTGATCGCCCTGTACCACCAACTGCTGGCCTTAGTCATGGTTTGTAATCTTTTTGAGATCAAATTTTCAAAAAAGAATGTTTATTTTTATATCAATTCGTTACAAAATAAACTAGTATTTTTTTGAGCTATAATTGCTTTTTGATTTGTAGATAAATGGGAAATTGATCCAGCAGAATTGCACTTATTAGAAGAACTTGGTTCTGGACAGTTTGGAGTAGTTCGAAGAGGAAAATGGCGTGGATCTATAGACGTTGCTGTAAAAATGATGAAAGAAGGCACAATGTCTGAAGATGATTTTATAGAAGAAGCTAAAGTGATGACGTGAGTCGATAATTAATTCAAATTTTTAATATGAAGATATTCAATAAACAAATGAGAGATTGAATAATAAATGTCAAATTGTTTTTCTCTAGAAAACTTCAACATCAGAATTTGGTTCAATTATATGGTGTTTGCAGTAAAGATAGACCAATATACATTGTTACTGAATATATGCGACACGGATCTTTGCTCAACTACCTCCGTCGTAATGAAGCAACTCTAGGAGCAAATGTTGGTCTTCTTTTAGATATGTGCATACAAGTAAAGTTCATCTTCAAATGTCAACTTTTACTTATTCATTTGTTACAGCAATTGATACCAATTATAATAATTACAGGTTTGCAAAGGCATGGCTTATCTGGAAAGGCATAACTATATTCATAGAGATCTTGCTGCACGCAATTGTTTAGTTGGTTCAGAAAATGTAGTAAAAGTTGCAGATTTTGGATTGGCAAGGTGAAAATTTTTTACAATGTGAAATTATTAATTTATTATTTAGTATTTAGAAATTTTATAATTTTATAATTTTGTTTCAGGTATGTATTGGATGACCAATATACTAGTAGTGGAGGCACCAAATTTCCAATCAAATGGGCACCTCCAGAAGTGTTGAACTACACTCGCTTCAGCTCAAAATCAGATGTCTGGGCTTATGGAGTACTCATGTGGGAAGTATTTACGTGCGGAAAAATGCCTTATGGACGTCTAAAAAACACTGAAGTCGTGGAAAGAGTGCAACGAGGTATTATATTAGAAAGACCTAAAGCCTGCTTCAAAGAAGTCTATGAGGTTAGTCAAAACTAAATCAATTCTATTCAATATATACTTAATATAATATTCAAAATATATACTTAATATAAATATAAAGAAATTATTTTGATATTAATCTAACATATTTATAATAAAATCTTATCGCGTTTTTTTTATCTCTTAGGTAATGCGAAAATGTTGGGCCCATTGCCCCGAAGTACGACCCTCTTTCCGCGTGCTGAAGGAACAGCTAATAAGCGTGTCTCAAGGTCTGCTCAATGATTGACTCAACCTTCTACGGTGTATGCGCCTATCGTCGCCTTCGAATCGATCAATACAGGCGGCAAAATCTCCATCGCTTGAGCGATCTCCCTCGATATTACCATCTTCTAATTCATCGTCATCTTATAATTCAGCAACATTACCGTCATCGCGTAAAACACGTGCACCCGCCTCTTTACCGCCCTCGGTCGATTTTCTACATCTCTCGTCATCCACGTGCAAAACGAAGAAAGAAGGGTCATCCTCACCGAGTACACCTGGCCACCAACCTAGTCAACCATCATCAAGCTCGTCAAACGTCTGTGACATTTGCAGTTCCTACGGACACCCGTGGATTGAAATTTGCAAGGCGATACGAGCCACTAAAGGCAAATAAAAAGTTGTGTGTGTGTCCCGAAAGTATGTGTGTCGATTTCAACGATTGTATTAACGCAAGCTTACAAAACAGCAGAAGAGAAAACCGAACAAAAAAAAAATTAATATTAACACGACATTATTTGATCCTGCATTATTGCAAAACTCTTCTACTATCCTGTATTATCCCTTATCTCTATCCTTCTACTATTCTTTATCTCTTCCCTATTCAATTAATCCCAATTTCCTGAGATCTTTACTATAGATATTTTAGATGTTTTTTTCTCAATGAACAAAAAAAATGATCCGAGTGCGTGATATTATTTCTCGGATATTAGGTTTTTCAATCATCCTTTCAATTCCTAACTACTCCCTCGTCCACCATGAGTTTCAGAGTATCTGTTCCATGCAACGATACAAATGCATTTACAAATAGAACAGTAGTATTTATTAATTATCCTTTAAGCAGGATATAATAGTAAGTTGTGATTTTTCTGTAGACATGTACTGTCCTTTTGTTATCGACTTTTTAACAAGAACAGTAAACGTAACTTCACAAATGAGAAACATTATTTCTGCTTGATAAGTGAATTTAATAAATGAATGTCTCACTTGTGTATTATATACTATGACAATTTAATAAAATAGAATAAAGAAAAATAAAATATCTTATGTTTTTAATATTATTTGCAAATATTTGAAATATCCTAGACTTCTTTTAAATATTTTATGTTTTCATATTATATCTTATCTTTCCTATCTTCCTTTTATTAAAAATTTATTTTCCTTTTGGTATGCATATTTTTGATCATTGTACAAACAAAAAAGATTTTTAAGAAAAATAAAAATGAGAAACTAAATCTGAAAATAAATTAAATTTTAATTTAATTATATAATTCTATATAAGGCATGTTACTTTATTTTCAGACCAATGAAAATATAAAATTAATAATAACAAAAATAAATAAATAAAATATATTTTAAATATTTAT